CTCTCTCGCTGTGTCTCTCTGTCAAATAAATACATAAAAAAAACTTTAAAAGAAAAGAAAAAAGAAAAAGAAAAGAAAAAGAATATGGAGCACCTGACTGGCTCGGTTGGTAGAGTATGCAACTCTTGATCTCAGGGTTATGCCTTTGAGCCCCACATTGGGGGTAGAGATTACTTTTTTTTTTTAAATAGAAAGGGGCACCTGGGTGGCTCAGATGGTTAAGCTTCTGCCTTCAGCTCAGGTCGTGGTCCTGGGATAGAGCCCCAGATTGGACTCCTGGCTCAGCGGGGAGCCTGCTTCTCCCTCTCCCTCTGCCTCTCCCCCTGCTCATGCTCTCTCTCTCTCTGTATCTCTGTGGCTCAAATGAATAAATAAAATCTTAAAAAAAAAACAACAAAGTGGGCCACCTGGGTGGCTCAGTCATTGTCTGCCTTCAGCTCAGGTCATGATCCCAGGGTCCTGGGATCGAGCCCCGCATCGGGCTCCCTGCTCAGTGGAGAGCCTGCTTCTCCCTCTCCCACTCCCCCTGCTTGTGTTCCCTCTCTCGCTGTGTCTCTCCCTGTCTAAATAAATAAAATCTTTAAAAAAAAAAATAAAGAAAAATACAAAGAAAAATAATACAAAATTACGTATAAAATAAATATTTAATTAGAATGTGAAAATTACAACAAATTAAAAATGTCAGAAAGCTGACAAATATCCAAATATATTAAAGCCTAGAAAAGTAACAGTATCTTTATGAATTAACTGTCTGAGGCATGTCTATATTACTTCCTACTTTTTTATTGCATATTCTTTGATAGCCTTTTCATATGACAATGATTTTGTAATATAATATTCTATGGTGGGAATAGAAAAATAATTGTCTTTCCTATAACAGAGTTAAGTGAAATTTATTTTTTGTTACCAATAAGTGGGATGCATAAAGCATACAACTTCAAACACAAATTTGCCATTTGTAATACTGCTACATGTTTATGCCTTACCAGGAGTTCAGATGATAAATTACATTTTGCACAATTTTCATCAAAGAAGAAAAAAGATATAAGCATCTGGCTCCTTGCTCAGCAGGAGCCTGCTTCTCCCTCTGCCTGCCACTCTCCCTACTTGTGCGCTCTCTCTCTCTCTCTCTCTGGCAAATAAATAAAATCTTCTAAAAAATAAACAAAAAGCTTTTA